CATCCTCAGGAGTAATGTCGAAACATATAGAGTCGTCAACTTTTTGAAGGCCATAGATAGGCCTACATAAAATGTTTTTAATTGTGTACCAGTTTAACTTTGATTGTTATTTATGATTTTAACTTTATAGTTGTCATAATGTTAAATTTATTTCATCACAGAGGCACCAAGGACTATAATAACATTTAAACTGTTCATCCATTTATTATTTGGAGAGATGGAAGTGTAACAGGTAGCTCCCTATTGGGTCAGTGACAAGTCTGCAGGCTTACGACACTAAATATCATGGTTGTAACACCAGTGGTGAGCAGAGCATAGATAGCTCATTGTGTAGGTTTACACTTAACAACAACAAAACTAAACCAAATGTAACAGGTACAATAACAATTTACTAAATGCTAAGTCTTTTCATATGTACTAACTATGTCATTTCTAGTCATTTTTTATACTATGATGAATATACTTGGTAAGATGTCAAGTCATAAGTTTTATTCGGAAAATATTTTACTTTAAAAGTTAGTAAAGGTTGAATTTTTTCTTCATTATAGTTTTATCATCATCAGACAGCCTAGTACTTATGGAGAGGTTAATTCACTGTAAGGTGAAATTGCTTTAAGAACTAAATGAAAATGGTCACTGTAAAATTATGAACGTACATAGCCACTAAATGTTTGTAGATTTTCATATTATTTATTATCTGATGTTTTTTCCAGCTAAAATGATAGCCAGAAAACCTAAAATACTTTATTTTCAATGACTTTAATTCATGGTTAGTTTTAACATCTTCATCACGATTCAATATTAATTACATAACTTTTGTCTGTGGTGAAGTTCTTATTTCACTTTTGAAATAATTTTAATAATAACACTAGCAATGGATTCATTCTACGGGAATCCAAGGTTGATTATGAATAATAGTATGAAAACAAGTATAACAAACATTTGATACGTGTGTGATGTTAACAAACATTTAATTTTTGAATGTTTGTTATTGTTGACACTGTACTATTATTATTCATAATTTGAATTATATATCAAACAAAACTTAATAGAAAATCTGTTATTTTGGTGCATAATTAACACTCAATAAAGTTATGTTGCTCGTAGCTTGCATGCACGAGGTACTTACTTTTAGTTACACTTTTTTTGATATTACTGGTGGTTGTAATATCACAGTTTTTTTACCACAGTTTCCAGCTGCACAAAAAATTTGCTTCTCAGAGCCATTCACAGAAATATGTATGACAAAATCAAAGCTTTAGATAAGGCTTAGAAATTATTATTATTATGTGGGTAAGGTTTGAGTTTAATGATTATTTCTTGTCTGAAACTTGTATTGTTCTTTACAGGTAAAGAACTGGAAACAGAGTCTTGTGATAAAATAGGAGAAACATCTAGCACAGAAAATCTAAAGCCTCCGTCTAGGTGGTCCATAAAGAGGTAAAGTTCGTGCAATGTACTCTTAAGGTAGTTAATTTATGTATCCATTCTAATGATAACTTAATGTGAATACCTTGTCAGTCTCCTTAAAGCTGTCATGGACTGGAGGTTAGGGCACTTGACTTGCAACCTCAATATCACGGGTTTGAATCCCATTCCAAAGTATGCTTGCCCTTTCAACTGATGGGGTGTTATAATGTGACAGTTAATTCCACTATTCATTAGTAAAGAGTAGTCCAAGAGTTGATTCATTCTCTCTAGTCAATCACTTCAAAATTAGGGACAGCTAAAACAGATAGCCCTCAAGTAGATTTGTGTGAAATTAAAAATAAAAAAACTGCTCAAAATGTTTGCATGTTGCACAGTCAAAATATGGGGTCACTGGTCAGCATGTTGATGGAAAGTAAATAATTGGGTTTCAACCATGTTAAATCTTTTGTAATTGTCTGTTAAAGATTCTGGTATACAAAGCTAAAGCTTGTGGTAGGTTAACAATTAGGTTATTAGGTTAACAATTTTAAATATTAAAGTTCTGGTAAAGTAATCATTCATTAACTTAAATAATGAGTCTCTAATGACAATTGAGCTATTACAATTAGCTTGGTATCCAGTCATCATGTTCAAACCTTTATATAATTTAGGTGTTTGATAGTCTGGCTCCTGTTAGGCTAAACCTGTTTAGTCTCTAATGACAAATGAGCTATTACAGTTAGCTTGGTATCCAGTCATCATGTTCAAACCTTTATATAATTTAGGTGTTTGATAGTCTGGCTCATGTTAGGCTAAACCTGTTTAGTCTCTAATGACAAATGAGCTATTACAGTTAGCTTGGTATCCAGTCATCATGTTCAAACCTTTATATAATTTAGGTGTTTGATAGTCTGGCTCTTGTTAGGCTAAACCTATTTGAACATATGTTTCAGCTCCGTTGTACTATTTCTCATCAGCCTAGAACACTTGTTGAAATAAAGTATGTACTAACAAGATTAGATCCTGTTGTCTACAAAAGATGTGATATTTACCCCAGAAAAGAATAACTTTCATGGTTGTCTGTTCTTGTATGTAATGTATCTCTTGTTTGTGCTTTATATCCTTGTTTTTATTCTTATACAATTTAAAAACTGTTTCATAACGTGTAACTAACAATTGTGTAAAACAAGAATTTTGAATTATGTAAAGTACAACCAGGGCCAGCTCAAGGTGGGTTCAAAGGGACCAAAACACCCAGAGTAAAAGTTTAGGACTACAAAATTAGATGTATCAAATTATATACTTACAGTGCTAACCAATTTTTCAGAATACATATATGTATATATATCGAAGGTGAACAGTAATTTCACCTACTGTTTTCATGTAAGTTCTCACCTGTAAGTGTTCTCAGTAATGACTGATGTAAAATTTAGGTTCCTGTAAACCTACAACAATTACAAAACGTGTTTCTTTATGCTATTTTAACTTTAATAGGAAACAGTTTAGCAGACAAAACAGAAGGTTACGAAGAGTGAGCCGTAAGGTAGTAAAATCACAAGCTTTCTACTGGATTGTGATTATTCTAGTATTTTTAAATACTTTCACCTTGGCATCTGAACACTACAGACAGCCGAGCTGGCTAGACCACTTCCAAGGTATGTTATGTACAAATATATATTCAGACTCAGCAAGAATTCATATATAAAGTGTTGAAACAGCTATTGGTGGGATAATATACTTGTTTCGGTACAACATTCCGTCTCTAACAATAAGACATGATCACATACAATATTTAAATAGCCGTTTCAAAACTCTATATATGTTTGATTATTAATGGGGATCTCATGAAAAGAAAATAAGCAAAAGCTTTTTTCTTTACAGCCGTTCTAAAGTTTTATAGCTTATTTAAGACTTTTTGTGCTTACTTGTGTACAACGTTGTTAGGGTTCTTTTATTTGCATATACATTATATGTCTGTAAATTTTTTAAAGCTAATTGTAATTACATAGTTTCATTTTTAAACTTGCGTAGCAAATGTCACAGTATTTAGTTATTATTATATATATAATAATAATAATAACTAAATAGTGGCATATATATATATATATATATATTACATTTATATATTTTAATATATAAATATTTGTATAATTTGCAAAGCTATCTGTAATTATGCATCACTAATCTTATCATCTTATCATAATCTTATCTTTATATATAATTATTAGTTACTTAAAAGTATTCTTACATATAAATTACATGGTTATAGATTTTTTGATGATATCAATTATTATCCTTATTACAACATCTCGGTTACCAGGTGCTGTTATTATTATAGGTAAAAGATGTGAAAATTTTCATTTTTAAAAATAAAATGAATGTCAAACAGATACGTATCTGTGAAATATTAAAAAGGCTTTCCTTGTTGAGTTACTTTCATGCTGTCATGTGACTTTAGGCTCTTTATGTCCTCGACACAATACAGAGCATGGGTCAGCTTACCCAGACTTCTTCACTCCTCCCTCCCTCCACAGTAAGCACAGATTTCTTTGTTTGCAGTCATGATGACCCAATATAGTCCTTGCAGCTGTGGGGAGGTGGGTGGAAATGCAATTCAGAGGCAAGTCTACTTGATTTGAATTTTACAATTAGAACACCTAAATTAAGATGAAGAAGGGAACAGCAGAATATCATGTTGGTGATGTTAAAAAAACATGTATGTTCAAGTAGTTTTGATAGAAATTAATAAAAACCCTATAACTCAAGCTCTTTCGAAAAGTGGACCTTTCTTCTTCAGGGGCAAACTGGGAATGGTGGTGTAATTGAATGAGTGATATATATAAAGGGGAGTTTAGTGACATCATGAAGGTCATCCAGTTTTCCAGGAAATGTTTAGTCTATTTCTCTATGTACTGTTGTAAGCATCTCATATCCGATAAAATGAAAACGATGGGGAGAGTTTATGTGAAAAGGTGTTAGGGATATTTTACTTTAGAAATGACTAAATATATATACGTTTAAAGCTATAGTTTGGTGTTTAAGTAAAATAAAGGTGACACTTGGAGACTGATTGAAAAAGATATGTTATGCTAATCAATTAATAAAAATAGGTATGGAAAATTATCTTAAATAAATGGTAAGTTTTAGGAAATTCAGCAGTCACATTAAATGAAAAAAATATGCAAAGAATAAAAATTATTTTTCTGAAAGAGATGAAACCAGTGAACAAAGATCACCAATTCCAGGATCTAGATTAATTCCAAAAGGTTGAACAAAGTTTAGATTAGCAATCTAATAAGCTTATTTTATTTCTCTATCTACTTAAGTTTGGAATCCTGTTTCAATGCCAATAAGAGTAACATCATTAATGGAATGACCAAGTTGGTTAAAGTGTTGAGCAACAGGGAGATCTTTTTCGGTGTTTATAGAAAATTTACATTTTTTACACTTTATAAGGTAAATGGTGTTCTTTTGAGAATTGGGAACAGACAAAGTAGATAGCACAATAGGTGAGAAACAATGGTTACCCTCTCTCGCAGCCCATGTTTTAAGTAGGAATGCTCAATATGAGTATATGTATAAGGTCTTACAAGAAAATAAAGTCTTCTGCTCAATGCCAGCAATAAAGGAAAATACGATATAGCAGACAAGTCACTAAATGTTCGAAAGTAGAAAATCCAAGCAATGTACGACTAAACCTAAGTCCCATTGAGGACAATGTCTAGGAACTTTGGCTAGTTGAAGACAAAAGGCTTGGAAGAGGTCTTTGAACAATGAAAATAAAAGAGATTTATGGCATCTGAAGTTGGCAGACAAGGCAGCTCTGTAATAAAATATATAAGGAAAGCTTGTCGCTGAGGCGTTGAAGACAAACAAGGGATATTGTGTTCAATGCACCAACTCCTTAAAGTGGCCCATTGAGACTAATATAAGAAAATTGGCAAGAAGAAAATCCATTTTCTTGAACAAACAGCAGCCAGATGTGTAGCCAAAGACCTTGAACATTGTTGTAAAAAACTGCCATTTGAAGATGTCATAGAAGATGTTTTCATGTTGATGATGGGACTGGTTCCTCATGAGAAAGTTAACATAATAGGGGGAAACCAGTCAAAGTGGAATGACAAGAAGAACCCTGAACTTCAAGTAACTGGTCTTGTTAAGTACGTGAGGAAGAATTTGGAGGTAAGAATAGATGGACAGGATCACCCAAGATTGACTCAAGGCATTACTCCCAATGAATTTATATCTGGAACTGGAGACCAGTAAAGTGGAAGAAGATGGTTGAATGATGAAGCAGAGGCATCGATAATTGGATGATCAGCCACTGAAAGGGAAGAAACTCAAGATAAACATGCTGAACTGCCCAAAGTTCTAACTGTTGATGTGACCTGCAGCTTCCAAGAAACAAAAGGATGCTAATTCCCCAACACAGCATCTCAATCTGAGAGGGAAGCATCTGTGAAAAGATAAAATTCTATAGGGCAAGGAAGAAAAGGAAGTCCTGCTGTTGTAAGTTCTTCATTCAAACAAAACTGGAGAAACTTGAGCTTGGTGGAGGAAACACCATTTTTGCATGACAAATGGATCTTAAGGTAGACACCACTAAAAAAAAAAATTCCATTGGAGGTGTCAAATTTATGTATTCCTCAAGTGAAAGACTTTGTGAAATTAAGTTCTCTTCAACAAAGTAGAAAGGATGTCTTTGGTGGTAGGTGTGGAAAACATAAGAGTATACAGATGAGACTCAAAAGCTTCAAACACAATATGATATAGCTGAAGTGTACCTAACACTGTTGATCTTACAACTCCAAATGTACCAAATTGGAGTTCTAGATGATTGCCCCTCCAAGACAAGTAGCCAGCTAGATGGTTATTTGAATGTGCGTGTAAGAGACTAAAGGGACAGTTTGACCAGAATAAACCAAATGTTCATATAAAAAAGTAAAAGGACAATATCAAGTGAATGGATAAAACCAGCAAAAACTAGATTACTTGACAGAAAAAGGAACAGAGCTAAAGGGAAGGATAGTGAACTACTTTCTCAATGACAGATGAATAGAGATAAGCATATTATGTATCCACCATTGTCATCCTGTGGCCACGACAATCAGCAAACAATACAGAATTAATAGTCTTAACACATTTTTTGGTATGGGCCAGCAGTACAGTCGAAGGACTTCCGCCACTTTAGAGGCAGACTTTTCCAAGTAAAGTTACCATAGAAGTTGTAGAAATCCTGAGATTGGCGGAACAATTTGCGTGAACAATTAACGTTACTCCAGAATTCATAGTCAATGAAATTAACATATCTATGAACAAGAAACATTTGGCAGGAAAGCATAGCTTATTCATATTCTCATGCACAACAAGTGACGTAGAATGTGGGATAAGTTGAGGTATAGTCTGCATTTAGAACATAAAGACACATAACTGTTGATGGCATGAGAGAAAACTTGACAAAGAAATACTATTAGTATTTATGAGGAAAATCCACCTAATTTGAATGTAAAAGTACAACGTCTTTAAACATTGAAACAGGATAATAAAGAAAAATATTCATTGTCCTTACTTGGCATTTCAATCATTAGATGATCATGGGCGTATTAACCAATAGGCTTTCAAGGCTTAGGCCTAGAGCACAACAATGTTTTCTGTGAGATGTGCCCCTGCAATTGTTGGGTTTTAACATACCTTGCTGGTGAGTCATTCAAGAAGGAAGGGGCACATCTAAAAGTGTGAGCATAAAGCATGTGTAAACCTTAATATGCCCCTGTAGATAATTCAGATCTTTGTTTCAGATCATAAGAAAGGTAATGTACAAGTTTCATGTTTTCGAATTTATTTTTGGATTGATAGGTAAGTTACGGATTTGTCGACTTACGTAATATAATTATTGGTTTCAAATTATGGAACATTAATTCCGAACAACTTTGTGAGTGTACATATACACCTATAGGCACTAAAAGCTAAACACAAAAACTTTAACCTTCTCTGTTCTCCTTTAAGTCTATTAACAACCTTACTTATATAAACTAAACACTAACTAGAATTTTAGAAACGTTCTAAACCAGGAACTGTAAGAGAATTCTTGTCCTATGCTTTGATTTTATAATGTTTATGATACATCATCATATAGTTTTTTTAAAACCATATAAAATATCAATACGTAATGTGTTTGAGTAGAAGCATGCTAATCATACCTTTTCAAATGTCATTTAATTTTTACATTAAATCTTTATCTAAACTTCTTTTAATGTAAGACTGATATCCATGTACTTTTCTTAATCCCAAAGAAAAAACATCTACACAACAATGACTGTAGAGTAGACCCCCCCCAAAAAACAACAACAATAAAAGACACAAGATTAACTATCTTTGTGGATGCTATATACCACAAAGTTTTTAACTCATCTCTTAGTTTTTGTGTTTAGTTATTGTGTAATGTGAGTATAAAAGGGTGACCCAGCTTGTAGAAGAATATTCAGTTTACCATGGTTATCATGGTAATCATTAATAAATTTTAAAGTTTTTAAACAAAATCTGATGTGGTTCTTGAATTATCCATAAATATGTCCACAAAACCAGAAAAGAATTCCTTTTTAGATGATTTATCACTTCCAGTTCAGTTAGAATGTAAACATTAGACCAAAAACCCTAAATGTTTATAGTTTATCTTCATGAAACATTATATACAAGTCTGAATTCTTATATATAATTATAATAATACTGAAATTATCACAGTTTTGAACATTCTAATATATTCTAAAGATTTTGAGGTTAAGGATTGTATTCTCATATCAGTCAACTTCAAATCAATATTTTGTGACATTTCTGCTTTTTCTTTTTTACAACCAAGGTTTATAACTATCCCAAAAATATTTAAAAAAATGAATATATTAGTATTGTTGCTAATTTATGAGACAAATCACTGTTTATATCTACCATTGATAATGTTTCATCTTATATGATACAATCTTAATTACAAATCTTCACAGAAGTTGCCAACATGTTTTTTGTTGTCCTGTTCACCCTGGAAATGTTGCTGAAGATGTACAGTCTGGGCTTCCAAGGATACTTTGTTTCTCTTTTCAATCGTTTTGACTGTTTTGTGGTGATCAGTTCTATCGTTGAAGCTGTGTTGACCTACACTGAAGTGATGCCTCAACTAGGGGTATCAGTTCTCAGATGTGTTCGTTTATTACGAATCTTCAAAGTTACCAAGTAAGTATGATATATAGGTGATTAAAGAAACTCCATCAACATATCGGTTACTTTGGTATAGTATATGAGATATCAAGGGATTGTTTATAAATACTAGCAAATGTCATGATATATAATATTGATTATTTGACAGTTTGCTCACCAAGTCAAATCTGTAGTTGAGGATCATGTGTTCTTTACTCTGTCTTTCCATTAGTATCAAAGTTCAGATCTGTAGTTGAGGATCATGTGTTCCTGACTTTGTAATTCCATTACTATGAAAGCTCAAATCTGTTATGACAGCTTGGGTATGACTTGTTACAGGTCTCTTTCTGGATGGTCCTGGTGACCATAGTTGATCCACATTCCTTTGTATACCAATTCTAAATCTCCAATCAGTTTTTGGTGGCATCACACAACCTACAAAGTCAAGATGTTGATCTGATACATCCTTTCCACCACAACTTTATATTAGCTGTGGTTGTCATGTGATTTGCTGATTAGCTTATTGAAAATAGTCTTAATATAACGTACTTAACCCTCTGCTCTGTGCACTTTCATACCATAGGAAGTATATATTTCTTTTCATGTCTTTTACATATTTTTTATATATAAAATCATTTTTTAAAAGGTGCTAATGAGAATAGTTGGTGTTTGGTATAAGAAAAATATCCAACTAAAGAAATTGCATTACAATAGGACCTACACAACTGTCACCAACTAGATACATAACAAATGAATTGGGGTAATTTAATTAATTAATCAGTTACTCAATTACATCAATTAGTGTCATGTCAAATAATTGATTAATCAGTATTATGATTAAATCAGTTAATGTTATAAACAATAACCAACTAATTGAAATTAGTGTTTCTGATTATTAATATTCCAGCTATCCAAGTCACATGTGAAAATAATTGATTAGTTGAATGTAATAGATTATTAATGAGTTCTACAACCAAACCATTATCAAATTAAACTTATTATTTACAGATAGACTTCTGTTTTTTAATTTTTTATGAAGGAAAAAAAAGTATTCTTTACGCTTATTTTTTAGTGAAGATAATTGTTTACTCATGTAAATGTTTCATTTTACTATTTTACATTCAGGTATTGGGCATCTCTACGGAACTTGGTAGCTTCTCTAATCAACTCAATGCGTTCTATTGCAAGTTTACTTCTCCTTCTGTTTCTCTTCATTGTTATTTTTGCATTGTTGGGTATGCAGGTATTTGGTGGGAAGTTCAATTTTGACAGCACACAGGAAAAACCTCGAAGTAACTTTGACTCTTTTTGGCAGTCGCTACTCACAGTGTTTCAGGTGTGTTAGTTTTTATTGTAATTATATTTTGTTTTCTTTTTACAGTTTTGTAGAATGCTTGTTTTTCAAACCATTCATAGCTTTATATTTAAACAATATGGTCTTTTATCATTGTTTTGCCAGATTAATATGAACAAACTCTTTATCAGTTGAATCGTGTTTGGATAAAAACCTTTTTGTTTTTATAAAATGTGTAAAGTCTAAAAGTTATGAGCTGGGTATTTCAGTAATCATTTGACAAAAGTTTTAAAGATTTACAGTTATTTCTTAAAAGAATGGTACATCTGTTAGATTTAAAACATTTTCAAGAGCTGTCGTGAAAACTATGTTATAGTTTAAAAGAAAGATTATATTTGAATCTAGTTTCAAAACAGTATTTTACATTAATATTGGTGAAGAGTCTCAAATCATATATGCTTTTTTGAATAAGAACAGTAATTTTTCACTGTAAATAATAACTCTAGATCATCATTAGTACTCTGAAGTATGACTGTTTGTTTTGGCCATTTTACCAAAATGTTTACGCAGCTGATTTTGTATATATATGTTGTTTTAATGCAAATTCACGAAAGGCATTTTTTTTTCAGTTTTCCAGTATTAGTCTGGTGCTGTCCCCTACAAAACCAAAATCTGACTATATGAGATGCTTCTCAGTGGATTCTAAATGGGTGCCAGTTTGACACCTTTGAGGGTTTTGAGATATGAAACAGCCACATAAGAAGTCAAGTGTAACCTTTTCTGATAAAGAACATAAGTACAACTTTCTGATCCACAGTTAAAACTGAAAGTTTTGGCCTTGTCTGTTTTGCCAAATGGCTAGCTTCTGCTGTACCTGTTATTATAGTTTTGAGATCAGAGAGTGTTGTAGTTACCTTAATGGGAGTTTCCTCCTTCCTGGTAACTTTAGTATCAAAACCTCTAGATTCAGAAGTGACTGTGTTAAGGAACTGGAAATCCATCTTAAAACACCATCTAAGTGATACGTGTGTCTGAACTATAACTTTCAAAGACGCAATAGTCTGCTCATGGTCCTTGGGCCACTGAATATTTGCATTGAATTCTGAGTAGTTCATAACCTGACATTGGGAGGTGCTACTTCTAGTAGTCTGTGGTTGAGTCAAAATCAGAGCAAATGCATGTGTGGGTAACAATCCATTCTGGGATGCTCTATTTGTATCAAAATTGTCTGCAGTAGTTTATATAAGTCTTAATGAAGAATCAGAAGATTTAGTCTTCACCAGTCATTATAATGAACACATACACAAATCATATATTGTTTCTTCTTTCAAGAAATTCCAGGTTTGTTTCCTTTCCCAATCTGTTATAGTCAACAACACTTCTGTAAACAAAGCGTTAGTCATTTTTACACCAATGATAAAATCTGCTTCTTTATTATTAATAAAAACTAAATGGTAGTGAGTGTACAAATTGTTACGGTCTCAAAAGAAACATGATACTTAGAAAAATATTCATATAAATACTGAGTTAGATAATTAGTTAGATAATGAAACATACATATGTTTCTTTTGATATCATATATGATCATGTTCTTGGGGAAATGTTTGTTTTTGTCCCGAGACCACTTACGACTATTGGGGCACTTTACATGTAGAATATCACAAAAAAGATTTTGAATAGTTTGCCTTATTGATGACGTCGTATCTCAAAACATTCAAAGGTATCAATGTGGCACCCATCAGATTCCTCATCCTCTTTTTATATAGAATTCACTGAGAAACAGTCGTATCACAAAACATTCAAAGGTATCAATGTGGCACCCATCAGATTCCTCATCCTCTTTTTTATATAGAATTCACTGAGAAACAGTCGTATCACAAAACATTCAAAGGTATCAATGTGGCACCCATCAGATTCCTCATCCTCTTTTTATATAGAATTCACTGAGAAACAGTCGTATCACAAAACATTCAAAGGTATCAATGTGGCACCCATCAGATTCCTCATCCTCTTTTTATATAGAATTCACTGAAAAACATTTTGCATTTTTGGTTAGGCTAAAACTTACATGAAACTTCCAAACCCAATATTTTATCTGTTTTTGTTAAACATATTTCAATTATATAACATGGATCAAAATGAAATATTTGCTTAAACATTTTTCTTGATGATTTTAGATCCTGACAGGTGAAGACTGGAATCTTGTGATGTATGATGGGATAAATGCTTATGGGGGTGTAGCGTCTCCTGGAGTGTTGGCCTCCATATATTTTATCATACTCTTTATTTGTGGAAACTGTATCCATTATAACATTATTACTCAAGTTATGAATATAACTGGTTGTTGTTGACATGCTTTTATAGAAACAAACTATTTTCTGAAGAGCTTGTAAAGTAGTGACAACATTAAATTAGGTTATAGTGGCTTTTTTTTTTCATTACTTTTCTTCGTTTGCATCTCTGATTATTTTAATACCTCTAATACTGATTTTTATAAGAAGTTAAAAAATTAACTTGCACTGCCATAAGTATAAAAAAAACTTTAAATCATTTGACAGATTTGAAGTGTTGCAATTTTTTGAGAGATTGTTCAAAAGGTAAAAGAAAATTTGGATATAGAAAATTTTAGGCCTCTCGCTAACACTTCTTTTTCTCGTGATATAATTAGGAAAAACTATGAATTAGTTTGAAATTAAAGTTTGTTTATGGATAAACAAGTAATTTGCTTTTAAAACCTTTTTATTTTAGATTAAAAATCTACATTTTATTAGGTTTAATTAGCATCATCGGGTGGGTGAATATGAATGACTTTATCTTGATCATCGTTATTTCGTTTTTGGATGTTTAAGTTAATTGTGTCTACATAAACTTAACCAAATTTATGGTTGAGTTTCCTTTAAATTAACAAATAGCCTACTAAGTGAATTTATCTTTTAAACTTACTGATAATTTCTGGTACTGTGACAATGAAATTTCTGGAATTGTTTTAATTTCAACATTTGTAATTCCATTAGAAGTAACTCTGAAATTACAAATTTCCAGAAGCACTTATTTCTTTTCAATCTTTCAGAGATTATGACATTATTCCTTTTTACAAGTGTATTGCAATTCAAAATTTAATGTAGTATCCTGTATGTTTATCATAGATTGAAATTTGAGGCAATAATTTAGACAAACAAATTTGCTAAAATGATGTTTCAAGCAGCGTACTGAATAAGACAAGAAAATGTAATTTAGGAACAATTTGAAAAACAACAAGCTGAAAGCACAGTATGCAAGATCTATATGATAGATGGTTTAAAATCAAGCAAATAAAAACTTCCTAACAATTCTCCCAGATATTTTGTTGAATGTATTCTTGGCTATTGCTGTGGATAACCTGGCTGATGCAGAAAGTTTGACCGCAATTGAAAAAGTAAGCTGCACATTTGTCTTCATTTATTTCTAGATTTTATAACATCAAATTTACATGAACATACCACAGAGCAAATACGTTTTATAACATCAAATTTACATGAACATACCACAGAGCAAATACATTTTATAACATCAAATTTACATGAACATACCATACGTTTTATAACATCAAATTTACATGAACATACCACAGAGCAAATACATTTTATAACATCAAATTTACATGAACATACCACAGAGCAAATACATTTTATAACATCAAATTTACATGAACATACCATACGTTTTATAACATCAAATTTACATGAACATACCACAGAGCAAATACGTTTTATGTGGTATGTTCATGTAAATTTGATGTTATAGAGCAAATACGTTTTATAACATCAAATTTACATGAACATACCACAGAGCAAATACGTTTTATAACATCAAATTTACATGAACATACCACAGCGCAGATACGTTTTATAACATCAAATTTACATGAACATACCACAGAGCAAATACGTTTTATAACATCAAATTTACATGAACATACCACAGAGCAAATACGTTTTATAACATCAAATTTACATGAACATACCACAGAGCAAATACGTTTTATAACATCAAATTTACATGAATATACCACAG